CTTTCCTATCCTGTGCATTCCTGCCCCCCCAGCTGTCTCCCTGTGAAACACTGCCCTTCTGCTCTCTCATGATTGATTGATTGATTGCTGCAAAGAGTATCTACCTAATGTCAATGTTCACCCTATATGTCTGTCTATTGTTTGGCTGAAAGCCACAGGAGTGAGTTCAGTTCCAGACCTGAAGGGTAACTAGAGGCCATAGTCTCAGGGGTCTCACCAGGTTGTATCAGAGCGGCAAACCTAGTCTTTTTTTTTTTTTAATGAAAATCTTCAATTTCTTCAACTTTGACATTGGTGCTTGGTATTTAAGTTGGAATAATAGTCATATTAACTGGTCTTTGTAGCTTTAGGGATGTTATCCTAGCACTGATGGTGTTGTACTTCAGGCTAGACCTTGAAATGTTCTTTTTGATGATGTATGTGATGCCATTCCTCTTCAATTTATCATTCCTGACATAGCAGGCCATATGATCGTCTGACTGAATATGGCCAATACCAGTCCATTTCAGCTCACTAATGCCTAGGATATCAATCTTTATTGTTCTATTTCATTTTGAAGACTTCCAATTTTCCAATTATTGCACATTCTACATTCTGATTATCAACTAATGCTTGCAGCTATTCCAAAAATACAGCTTTTTGGAGGGCCAGAACTGGTAGGGAAGGTCGGGAAGCAGGAGTGGAGCAGTTTGGAGCAGGTAAGAGAGATGAACTCATCTGTCAGTTTGTCATCCTGTGGTGGCTTGTGTGTTGCTGTGAACCTGGAGGCTGTGCCACCAGTGTTTCAAGTGCCAACAGGGTTAGCCATGGTGGACAGGTTTCAGTGGAGTTTCCAGCCTAAGACAGACTCAGAAGAAGGAAGAGGCCATCCACTTCTCAAAGAATTGGTCAGTGAAAACTTTGTGAATAGCAGTGAAACACTGATATATTACTGAAAAATAGCCCTGAAACATTGTCTAATAGTGCCAGAGGATGAGCCCCTCAGGTCAGAAGGCACTCAAAATATGACTAGGAAAGAGCTGCCTCCTCAGAATAGACCCGACCTTAATGATGTGGATGGAGCAAAGCTTTTGGGACCTCCTTTTGCTGACGTGGCACAACTCAAGATAAGAAGAAACAGCTGCAAATATCCAAATAATAATTGGAATATGGAATGTACAAACTATGAATCTAGGAAAATTGGAAGTTGTCAAAAATGAAATGGAACACATAAAGATTGGTATCCTAGGAATTAGTGAGCTGAAATGGACCGGTGTTGGCCATTTTGAATCAGACCACCATATAATCTACTATGCCGGGAATGACAAACTGAAAAGGAATGGTGTGGCTTTCATCTCACAAAGAATGTTTCAAGATCTGTCCTGAAGTACAATGCTGTCAGTGACAGGATAATAAGATGGGGCAATCTACTTCTGTAGCGATACTGCCTCAGAAACCCTAGGAGGGGTCGCTAGAGTCAGGTCCGACTTGATGGCACATAGCAACAACAACAAGGAAGACCAGTTAATGTTACTATTATTCAAATTTACACACCAACCACCAAAGCCAAAGATGAGGAAATTGAAGATTTTTACCAACTTCTGCAATCCGAAATCAACCAAACATGCAATCAAGATGTGTTAATTATCACTGCTGACTGGAATGCAAAAGTTGGAAACAAAGAAGAATCACTGGTAGTTGGAAGTTACATAAGGTCTTGGTGATAGAAATGACACTGGAGATTGCATGATAGAATTTTGCAAGACCAATGACTTATTCATTGCAAATACATTTTTTCAACAACA